TCTCTATTTATAGAGGGGCCCATGGCTGTTTTTACACTCATTTTCGTAAATTAGCCGTTATTTTGTCTTCTGCGCAGTAGGTAATCAATTACCTTTGGTAGGGTAATCGATTACCATGAAAGGTAATCAATTATCATTTATTGGGTAATCGATTACCAACCTATTGAAAGGTTTAATTTCACCCTAAAATGATTTTCTCTTGATTTAAATCAGTTTCAAATATTTCTTAAACATTTGATAAACATTGAAAACTATATTTTTATGCTAGGAATCTATTTGAATGTTAAGCAATGATTTAATGCATGTATTTGAAAAAATACTTTGAGCTTCGTTCACGTAAGGAATCAATTTTCTTTTCAAATAATCCAAAGTCCTATAATATGTTACTTGGAGATTGCTTGGACTTAGAGACTTCTCTTGAAGCTTGAGTCTTGATCTTGTTTAGACTTCTTTTTTATGGTTGCACTTTGAAGTTTTCTTTCCATGCTTGCTTGTTATCATCAAAATCGTTGAACCTTTATATTCTTTTCGTAGAGTGCATTGGTTCCACACATTTTTTTTTGGATTGCTCCACTGGTTTTCGTGGCTTCGCCTCGACTATGTCCAGTCCGACCTGGGTAGGTTACCTAGCATTGACAGGTGAGTCTCCTAACAAGAATTTTCTGCATACATAAAATCTCGAACTCGAGTTCTTACTTAAGCGAACTCAAATACTTTACCATTTGAGCCAACTCCCGTTGGTGGTTGAACACATTTGATTCAATTGCATGCATGCCATCCAGTAGGTGCTGATCCTGATCAAGTGGCATAGTGGGGGATTGCTGCAATAACCGTCAGTAGTAGCTGACAAAGCAAAATGAGGATCCAAATCTTATTTATTATGTTGTGTTTTTGCGTCAAATGATCATTGAAAAGCAACGCAATGCCTTATTCAGGGATGCAAAGTTCTGTGGCTGCACAGAGTCCAATGCTTGCTTGCCTGTGAATCTGAGCGCAACTTGAACCAACATTTTTTATCAGCTTTTGCATTGTTTCATGTTTTTTTTTTTATAAATCACGTGTTTTTTTAATGGGAGGCGATTATATTAAAAGCGGGTTCTATCTGTATAAAAAATATTGGATATGATTTGACTTGTTAATTTATGTAGATCTCAAATTACAAGTCTGGTCCTATATTTAAAAAATAAAATTTTTGGCCTAGGTCTGTTAGGCTGTTTAAGCTATTAAACATTCAATAATTAAAAGAATAACTACAATAATATTACTTTATTATTCAAAATTATTAAAATAATAATTTTATTATTAAAATACAAACCGGTCTGTAAGTTTATAGGTCTAAAATATACAAAAAAAAATATATGGCCCATTTTTAAATAGGTATTTTAAAAGCTTAGGTCTATTTTATTTTACTATTTGTAATAGATTAAATCTGACCTAATATAGATTATGCCGTAAGCCTTATAGATCCGTCTAACTCATTTACACCGGTACTAAAGAAAATCAAATATATTCTCTCGTCCTACCTGTTCAACTCACGTATAATAATTAAACTATCATCGTTTGCTGATCACATTTTGTCACGGAATCAACCATTGTGCTTCACTATCATATCCAACCTGACGATTATTTTTCAACCTGACACTATATATATATATATATATATATATATATGAGTAAATATCTTTTTTGTCTTCACCAAATTTCACGACGCCCGTTTTAATCCCTAGCAAATAAAAAGGTCCATCGTAGTCTTTAAAAAATTCAAAATGGACCCATTTAGTTGAAATCGTGGTCCCTCATAAATTCAAAAAAGACCCATATTAGTTTCTAAAAGGACTAAAATGGGTCCATTTTGAATTTTTTGAGTACCACAATGGACTTTTTTATTTGTTAGGGACTAAAGCGGGTATCATAAAATTTACTGAAGACCAAAAAGAGTATTTATATATATATATATATGTAAAGATATAAACAACATTTTCATTAAGCAGTGAACTCATTAATTTTCTGATGTAAACTGTGACAAAGTGAAGGTGGGTTGAATAAAATATAATGATTTGACATACAAAATCTCATATCTTCTTTTTATATTAACTTTATTGTTAAGTTTATGTAAAATTAATTAAAAGTTTCGGGGGAAGTTGCTGTCTGCATGTGACTTGCTTTCCTTCATAAAGTTTCTACCTAAACCGCTGGCTTTCATTACTGGGTAAGCTGATAACGGAGTACAAAATTCAATTTTCGCTTAGGCCATAAGATTTCATATATGTTTGCAGATCCTACTCCATTTAATTTGTGATGTGCTATTTTTTATTTATTTTTAAATATACATTGTTTTTGATATTTTCACCGAATGTGATGTAGGTTAAAAGTCTTTCCGAAAATTTTGCTTTAAATGAAGGATTCAATTTTTGATATTGGGATTCAAAACATCACTTTTTTTTTTTATAATCTCAAAGTATTTTCATTCAACCTCTTCCAGTTATTTTGTTCTAGAAGTATAGCTCTGAAGGTTACCCCTTATTAAAACACAACAGATGTATTATGAAATTAATCCCTTATTCGAGAAGAGAAATATGTCATATGACTCCAAAGATTTTTTAAGAATTTGCTTGAGGTAAGATTTAAACCCTCTTCCAAACAAATCCTTAGAAGTTGTTGACATATGAGGGATTTCAAAATTCAAACCATCACTCTTAATCACGACTACTCGCACCCATTGAGGAGTTGTGCTATCTTTTTACATAGACTATAAATGGACATGCCCAGTGGTTTAAATTACTGAGAATATGCTGGTTTAGTTACTGGTGAGGGTGTACAAAAGAAAATTGTCATGATGTAAACATTATCATTAAATTATGTTGGTACACATAATTAAAAGAACTTCAATAAAAGAAAGAAAGAAAGAAAACTGTTCAGTTGGGACAGAAAGAAAGAAAATTTGGACACGTACTGTATTAGAATTAAATCCTAATAATATATAGGGTTTTATTACTCTCATTCAACATAAGATAGATATCTTATGTTGTAGAGAGAAAATAGGTGGGTCCCACCATTACCAAAAAAAGAAAAAAAAAGAAAAAGGTGGGGCACGAAAATCGAAGAGAGAGAAAATGAGAGATGATATCTCATGTTGAAGGAGAGTAATATTTCCCTAATATATAAGCACACAAATGTACCATTTTGAAAATGCATCTTGCAGAAGTTGGCTATCAGTGCATTACTTAGAGTATGTTTGGATTGCCCTCTCAATTTTTTTTTATGCTTTATTTATTTTAAAAGTGTTTTTTTACAAAAAGCTATAGCTATTTAATTTTTTTTTTTTAAATATTTGACTTCTGAGTTTTTTTAAAAGTTAAAATTTTTAGTTTCCAAAAAAAAAAAAAAATTGACTTTTTTTTATGATTTATTATTTTTTAAAAAGTAGATATTCAAATAGATTTTTTTTTCTTAAAAAAAAGAAATTTTAGAAAGAATTTTTTTTTTATCCAAACGGGCTTTTAGGACTTGTTTAATAATAAGAAGAAGAAGAAATAATTAAAAATGTAGGGCCGTGAGCCCACATGCATTGGGCTAATAGAAATAGCCTCTTCTGTCTTTATGATTCTACTGAGAGAAGTGTTTAGATTTTGACATATTAAAACGTGTATTAGCTCAAGGTGAATTTGTGATAGAAGAAAAAAAAAAATGTTTAATTCAATTTTGCATTTAATAGAATGCTAGCTGTGTTAAAGGGAATCGGAAAAACATGAGTTGATAAAAGAATGAGAAACCCGCAAATTTGAAAACGAAGAAAATGTTTTAATCGAAATATTAAAAAAAAGAAAGATAATATTGGTCGAAAATCTGGATTTCAGGTATGAAGCATGAGTTGAGAAAAGAATGAGAAACCGCAAATTTGAAAAACGATGAATTCTGGTCTGTTTTTGATCGTATTCTGATTTTTACTGTTTTATAGAATAATTAGTAAAATAATTGTTTTTTATTTTATTTTGAAAGTTAAAAATCAAAACATAAAATAAATATCTCTAAATTTGCTTCTAAAAACAAAACAAAAAAATAGTTATAATTTTTAAACTTTTTTTTTTAAAAAAGACCTTATCAATTTTTTTTATTTTAAAAATTTAAAATTTATTTTTCGAATCAAATTTCAAATGTTCGTGTTACAACAGTGCACGTGCCTGAATTCCGACGTGGAAAACCAACCAACATTCATCGAAAGAAGACTCTTTCTTGGAAATGAATCGTCTCGTATTAAAAAACAAAATATATGATATGATTCTCCACGTTATAATTTTGTAAAAGTAAAACATCCGTTATAATTATCAATTTTAATATTTTTTAAGAAAAATTATACTCTTATGTAATAGGAGAGTAAAAAGTTTTCCTACACTAATTCGTTTTCCATGTTAATTAATTGTTTTTTTCTTTTCTAATATAAAATGTGGGACTCATGTATAATTTGTCTCTACTTTTGTTATCTCATGTTTTCATGCAACCTAAGAAAACATGAACCCATTTTTTAATTATTATTATTAATTCATTTTTATATCATCATGATTTTGCACGTTACCCTATCATATTTTTTAAGAAAGAACCTACTTCCTTTTTTATTGTGGAGAATGCTATTCTAATAGTTCTCTTATATTACTAGAAAAAGTCACGTGAGGTCCATTATTAAAGAATAAAAAAAAAATTGGTGAAATTTTCAAAATAAAAGATTATCTCTCTTATATTACAGAAAGAAATCATCTATTATTAAAGGATAAAAAAAAATGGGTGAAATTTTTAAAGTAAATACTATATTTTTGATAATTAACCCGTGTAAAGTTAGAGTAATATTTCGTTTTATTATTTATCAAAACCAAACATTTCCATTAAAAATCCTCAAACTAACAATTAAATGATTTTGCCAACAATCAAAGCAAAACATCCTTACTAACCCTCATTTTCTGACGCCAAAGGTCTCTCACCCATCCCTCTTGCAAATCCACTTCCTAAAAATCCCATCTTTTTTAATCTCTCTATTTTTTTTTTTTTTTAACCTTTCCCTTAGCTCTGAATCTTCCTTTAATTCTCTCTGCCTCTTCTGGGTATGGACCATTTTTCCCCCCCAATACTATTCCTCACTTGAATCCCAAGTTAACAAGCAAAACCTTACACTGCAAGCGTGTTCTGTCCTTTTTCTGTTACTGTATTTAATTTTGGGGTGACATTAACGTAGATCTTGGGCACTGTTTGTGGAAGGAATAGCACAAGAAGGGGAAAAAAATACTACACAAGTGTAGGAAAAAGAACAAGCTGCATTAATTATTTGGAGGTGAAATCTGAACTAAAGTGTTTTGAAGTTACTTGTAAAGAGACTGAAGGGTGACTTGTTTTGGGTTTTCATCTTCCTCTTGCACCTTCAAAAATTGTTCCTTTTTTGCTGAGGTAATAATAGGTCTGAGCCTATTTCAGCTCCCAAATCAAAATCTTTGGCATTTGGTGTGGATTTATGTCGATTTAAATCAAGCATCTATGCTTTGAAAACCATGTTTTATCCTGCATAAAAAAAGCTTGGATCTTTCGCTTAGATGCTAACTATTCTTCCAAAAGAAGGTTGGCGAGCCACCAAACTTTTCGTTGTTCTCTTATCTTCTTAAGATTGGTGGGGTACTGCTTTTTTTGTTTTCAACATATCTGCAGGAGCTAAATTTAGGTAGATAGAGATCTTGGTTCTTGTCCATTGGTGTGAACAGTTTCAAAATTCGATTTTGATTTTACCAGTGCTGAAAAAGGGTATGAGGAGGAATACTAGTTCTCATTCAGGAAGGTTATTTAGTGACAGGAAGTGGGCTTTTCCGTTTTTGGCTAGTTTGCTTGTAACCGTGAGTCTGGTTCTGACAGCTATATTGGGGGCACTTAGCTCTTCTGGTGTGGGAGAGCCGTCACCGTTTGACATCATTTCATTTGCAATATCAGAAGGATCGAGTGGATATTTTGTAGAATCTGATATAGAAAGGTCGTTTAATGCTAATGTGGTTCAGAAAATGGAGGCACCTAGGTTGGCATATCTTATTTCAGGCACTAAGGGTGATAGTCTTAGGATGATGAGGACATTAGAGGCAGTGTATCACCCAAGAAATCAGTATATCTTGCATTTAGATCTTGAGGCGCCGCCCCGGGAAAGGTTGGAATTGGCAAGTGCAGTGAAAGCTGATCCTACATTTCGTGAAGTAGAGAATGTGCGTGTTATGTCTCAATCCAATTTGGTGACTTATAAGGGTCCTACCATGATTGCTTGCACCCTCCAAGCTATAGCTATATTATTGAAAGGGAGCTCACATTGGGACTGGTTTATAAACCTCAGTGCCTCAGATTATCCTCTTGTGACACAGGATGGTTAGTTACAGATCCTTTTCAGTGATTGCTTGTTGATGTTATAGACTGTTATTCTTGTTAAAATGCTTGCGTAAACTGTTGCCTTCTTGGTTGTGGAATGATAGAGTGAGCCTTCACAACTTCAGGAAACATAACTAACTTATCCTTCGGGTTTAAACATATGATGCTGCTTTGCAAGTGGTTTTAAACTCTTCATTGTATTTTGATGTTTGGCAAGTAATAGTTAGATGAACTTGAGTTGTTTGCCTGTCATTTTTAGAGTGCTGTTGTTTTATTTTTCTTGAGCATTATTGTTTGAAGGACAAAAAACATAAGATTAGTAAAGTTGGCACTATTGTTTGAAGGACAGAAGATTATTAAAGTTCATCTGTTCTCTTATTATTGTGGATCTATCATGATGGATCTCTACATAAAATTATATTCATATAATTTTGTTGAAACTACTAATGATTGGGATTGATGAGCTGTAAACTGTCAAAATGTATTTTCTTTACTTTTTTTTTATGTTGCCTTCAAGAATACAAGGAGGTTAGCAAATGTAATTTGGCCGGAGATAATAACTGAAGTTTATTTGCCATGCTTTTTGTTCAGGTTTTATTTTGTGTTGCTAGTTATGGGAAATTCTCTTTCCAATCTTCCACCCCCTGGATATTCTGGCCTGATTATAGATTCCTTAAGTAGTTCAAGCATGAAGAAGTAAGACAAAAATTAGCGAGCTCATGTTGCCTCTGTGATTTGCTTAAGGGCAATGCAATCTAAAAACAATTCAGGCTATTTTGATATTCCACTCTTTGCTACTTTTGTTGAGTTGTGTTAAGAACCTTAGGATACACCACCCCAAAAGCTAGCTCAAGGAGTGGGAGTGCCCAAGGCCTTATAAAGGCCATATTAGTTGTCCATCTAATCAATGTGGGACTATATATCTCAACACGCCCCCTCGCGCAAGAGCCTTTTAGGCTAGAAGCGTGGAATTTTTTATTTATTTTAATTCTACTTTTTAAAGCGGGGGACGGTGAGGCTCTGATACCATGTTAAGAACCTTAGGATACACCACCCCAAAAGCTAGCTCAAGGAGTGGGAGTGCCCAAGGCCTTATAAAGGCCATATTAGTTGCCCATCTAATCAATGTGGGACTATATATCTCAACAAGTTGCAACCTTGTACCCATTATTGTTGCATCCTTGCATTTTTGTTGGAAAATTGGAAATCTTCCGTGCACGTTTCCTGCATATTTTATAGTGGTTTGTCTGGACTCTTGAGTCTAAATTCCAAGTCACTTTTGTAGTCTTAATTCCTGTTGGATTCCATTCATGGGCTGGGACTTGTAGCTAGGATGACTAGAGTAAGGACTTTCAAGATATTGTTAACCTCGCAGCTATTAAATGGGCATTCTTTCCTGCAACTATAGTCATTGTTTTGTTGAAATGTCAAAACCTTCTTTTCCACTAAACCACTGTGCACTATAATCTAAGCAGTTGTTGAATCTTCGCACACATCACAACATCAATTCTGAATATATGCAGGGCATGGATAATATGATGATTAAGTTTCTTCTTTTTATGACAAGAACCACTGATCTGGTAAAAATTGTAACCAAATAACTCTATATTAAACCTCTACTAGTGAGGGTGAGGTTAGGGCAATCCTAGTAAAAAATGTTCAACAATCTAGATAATTGTCCCTTTGAAGTGGATGGTTAAATTTATACTACTCCTGCAAGTCTACACAAGTGTTGGATAGATCAAATGCAAATTTTTATTTTTATTTTTAATATTAATTTTGACCTTGAGGGCAAGCCTTGAAGCAAGCAGTGAGGTTACTCCTTTGTAACCGGAAGGTCATGAGTTCGAATACAGGAAACCTCTTTGCGAAATTGTAAGGGTAAAGCTGTGTACAATTGACCCTTACCCCTACCCTCGCAAAAACGGGAGCCTTTTTGCACCTAAGTTGCCCATTGCTCCTTACTTTTGACCCTGAGAAAATATCTAGTACCTGAAAATTAATTTTTTTGGTGGTATTTTGTAACCTTTGAATCTTCTGACATCAACATTTTGTGTGCGGCATTGGGTGTATGTTACGATCCCATTTGCAAGGTATGGGACTTGGAGTCCCACATTGGTTGTATGGACAACTAATGTGGGGTTTATAAGGCCTTGGGTACTCTCACCCTTTGAGCTAGCTTTTGGAGTGGTGCATCTCAAGGTTCTTATCAAATGGTATCAGAGCCTTCTACTATGTCTCCCGGTTGCAATCGAGCGGCACGGGTGGTGACGTCGGCATTGCAGTGTTCGCCAGGGGCTAGTAAAAGACTAGCGCAAAGCCAGCCCGCGTGGGCGCCGGGGCTGCGGAGCGTGGTGGAATGTTACGATCCCATTTGCAAGGTACGAGACTTGGAGTTCCACATTGGTTGTATGGGCAACTAATGTGGAGTTTATAAGGCCTTGGACAATCCCACCCTTTGAGCTAGCTTTTGGGGTGGTGCATCTCAAAGCTCTTATCAGTGTATTCCGTCTGGGTCTATAAAGATTCATGTAGCGTATCATATGCTGTTTGGATAAAGTCTGATTATAGTTGAATTGCATCCATATAGTTGAGGCTGTCTTATTTTCTTCAGATAAAACCAATTTATTATGATTTACTTGTATATGATCTGGTAGTTCACTCATCTACACTCCCCCTGTTTTCTCGCTCTGCTTCCACTGGTACCGTAATTGTAATTTCTAGTTGGCCAGTTATGAATTTTTTTCATAATTTTTTTGTTTTGTTTTTTAGTTTAAAGTTTTAATACAATGAATAAAAAGTGTTTCTCTACCGTACATGATGTTCTTCTGCATCTCATGATTGATTGAGCTACTGCTATTTAGCCCACCACATCAAAGCCTGGCAAACAATAGTGAAAATCGGGCTGAAACAATATTCTTTCCCCTGTTGATATTATTTGATAGTAGTTTCAACTTTCAACCCCTTTGATTCTCATGTTCTAATTTAAATAACTCTCTCGCCGCCTCCGTCAGGTAACAGTGCTAAGAGGTTATTTTCTCTTGCAACGCTACTTGCTTGTTTTCGTGCCCAGAAAGCACTTTCTTTCTTGAATATTCTATGCATTCACAATTAGAAGTGAGAAATTAAGTAACTTTATGGCACCCATTGTTTTAAATATGTTCATTTACACTCTTATTCTACCTAGGATTCTCATGTGTTATTATTTTTTATCATAGGTTGCAGGTACTAAAACAGCTTAGGTCTTAAATAAATTTTGACACTACTATGATAAGTTATTGATAACTTGTTTATAGGACTAGCCAAGTTTAGAAAATGCTGCCTTTCTTTGTTGCTGATCCAAAGTATTTCTGATTATCCTGTAATATTAAAAAGTAGATATCCTTGCCATTATTTTTTGTCATATAAGCCATTTTCAAAACATACTTAGAGTTGGATGCCAAAATTCACGATCATACAATGAACGGCAATAATAACCATTTTTTTCATTACCACTGAAGGACTAGATTTTTTTTTTCCTGTTGGTCATCCTTCTTAATAGGACTAGCTTGGGGTAAGAATAAGCCTAATAATTGTTGCTAGACTAGAAGAGTTGGAATTGTGTGTGTATTTCATTACTTAGTACTTAGTACAGCCATTCGTTCACACATGAAAAAACACATGTCAATGCTAATATAATATATATATATATATATATATATATATATATATATATATATATATATATATATAACCCTTCTTGAACCTTCTAGAGGCCTTTGTGAAGTCATCTGATATTTCATATTTGTTTCGTGTTTTTTCAGATTTGCTCCATATTTTCTCTAATCTGTCAAGAGATCTGAATTTCATTGAGCATACACCAATTGCTGGTTGGAAACTGTAAGTTAATTATTATACAATATGGAATTACTGTAAAATATGCCGGCTCCCCCATTTGTTTTTTCCCCCCTGGTTGTTGATGGAGGTTTCTTTATTTAACTGCTTATATGCTTAGGAGGCATCGAGCAAGACCGATTGTTGTTGATCCTGCCCTTCACTTATCAAAGAAATCTGATATTGCATGGACTACTCAACGAAGGACACTTCCTACATCTTTTAATTTGTATACTGGTAAGTATGTATCTGTTGTCTATTTACAACAATTGCTTCATTTCTACTATATATTTATTCTAAGTGGCTGTTTAAAGGTTTAGCAGTGATAAGTTTGTACAATATCCAGTTAAATAGTCAGATTAACATATATTAGCCATTAGATAGGCATAGTGGATCTTTATATATAGTTGTATGCTTTCATAAACAGGTTCAGCTTGGGTTGTGCTGACCAGGTCCTTTGTGGAGTACTGCATATGGGGATGGGATAACCTTCCACGGACTATCCTTATGTATTATACAAATTTTATCTCCTCTCCAGAGGGTTATTTTCACACTGTCATTTCTAACACTGAGAAATTCAACCATACTGCAATAAGCCATGATCTTCACTACATTGCTTGGGACACTCCCCCAAAACAGCATCCCATCTCATTAACTATGAAGGACTTTGACAAAATGGTTGAAAGCAAGGCTCCCTTTGCCCGAAAGTTTGCAAAGGATGATCCAGTCCTGGACAAGATTGACAAAGAACTTCTGGGGCGCAAACATAGATTTTCGCCTGGCGCATGGTGTGTTGGTACCTCAGATGGTGGAGCAGACCCATGTTTTTTGCGTGGCAATGATACAGTGTTTAGTCCAGGCCCTGGTGCTGAGAGGCTGCATGAGCTGTTTCAGACGCTGTTGTCTGAAGATTTTCAAAGCAAGCAGTGTTTGTGATGAAAGTGTAACCCTCCAAGTAAGCTAAGGTCAATTGTACATAAGTGTGCTTATAGATCATATATTCATGATGCAAAAGGTCATAATTTTGTTTATAATATTTTGATACTCTAGGTTCAAAGTTATAGAAGCAACAGGCACTCACATCAGCAGTTTTCAAGTGCTTGCTTCGCTTTTGTCAGCCTTTTGGTTGTCATTCCAGCCAACCATTAAGGCAATTACAATTTTTTTATTTACGGAATTGCAAAGCCTGTTAAAATCTGTTAGCAGAGATTAGGTTCATGTATCTTTGTATGATCATTTCTGGAGAAAAGTCAGTGAAATATCCTTTCTCTACATCCAATCCTTCTTGTGCCACCAGCATCTCAACCCGGTTCTGCACCCTGTCTGCTCCAATCTGGTTAGGCTCCAATAGCATGCAAGCTATTTCGGTTGAATCCTCACCATGAACAAGCCCGAGTGTTTGCACAGTAGGAAGCCCTCCACCACGAGCACTAACCTTCCTTGCAATCCTTCTTGCTGCTGATACATCAGTGGACAAGATTGGTATGTTGTAGAGTGCAACCCAAGGGCGTGCACCAATCATTGAGATACCTTTAGCTCTTGAAACAACAATAGGCCCTTCATCAGGGTTCTGTGGTAAGATATCAGGCATAGTCCACCCTGCCCATTGATTGCCCATGAAATTAGGCCGGTAATATCCAAGCTCTCTCCTTATGGTGTCAAGTTCCTTCCCTGTTGGGTGTGCTGCAGCATACAGAAATACAGGCACTGCATTTCACATATAAAAAGAAAAGCTGCATAAGTATATAACTAATTGAACAAAACAAAAAGTTAAAAGAGAAATGAATGATTGTCATAATCTCTTGCATCACATCATACTGGAGTCCTATGATACTATGATGACCCTTAACTTGTCAATGGTTGAATATTTTGAACCTTAAAACCTTGAATACATATTCAAATGTCACTTGGAGCTGATGAGTGACATAACATTCAACATTTATTCTAGTAGGACAAGCCTTTTCTTATCATGTAACTCAAACTTTGACGCACAAAAATGTATTCCATTCCATGAGTTTTGTCCTTGGAGACTTACCATCAAATCGGTTGCCAATGTCTGCTGCCACTGCTTTGGCCAGCCACGCTGCCTCATCTAGTGATGCACGAGCAAGTGGATGGAAAACAATGTCATCCACTATACCTAAACGGGGGTGAGCCCCATCATGCAATTCAAGGTTGATGGCATTGAATGCTGCTTCAGCCATGGCTACAACAGTTTGGTGCAAGGGACTGTATATGGCACTTCCTGTGCAGTCATGCAAAACATACGATACAAGGGTGTACCTTACCCTGTTGTAAGCTCGATCAGGAAATGTGTTCACAATGACTGTTTCTGGGTTCAACCTCGCAGCTCGTTCGATTGCATCAAGAATAGCAATACTACGTGATTCAGAAATAAATAACTTGCAGCACAATAAGATGGATTGGTCTACGGTTTTCTTTTGCTCCTAAATAAATAGTAAGATAATGAAAACTTGTCCATTGATGCAGTAATGAAAGAGAATATATTCAAAGCAATGCCAAAAAACCAAAAGAAATGAAACCTTATTTTAATGAATAATGATTTATACACAAATTTTTTATGTGGTTTTTACTTTGTGGTATGGAATTAAGGTTAATCTTTTTCAATTATTAAGGTTAATGTATTCTTATCCATGTTTTCTACAAACGTGACTTTTTCCTGCAGATATTCAAGTAGTTTATAGAGGATAAGAAATAAAAGAAAATATACATTGTTGAACAAGAATATGATTGAGGAGAGATTAGTGGGGTGACAAAAAGTCAAAAATACTTGAATAAAAACTTGCAGTTTTGTTGAAGAAAGAAAGTAAAAAGATGAACTTTCAGATTTATTTTGAGAAAAAGATTGATGATCAATGGTTTCAATTTAGCTTACTATACTTGTAGCACTGCAAACTTAAAATTTTATAGCATCCGTGTATCATTTAGCAGTTTTAGCATTACATTCTTCAGCTGAACCAAGAACACTAGAAGATAACCAAAACCACCTACTGCTACTTCCCCCATTCCACCCCCTTTTTTCCATTTTCTGTTTCCTTCTCTTCTCTTTGTATTTGACTAGCACTTCACAATAAGAAAGAAGTTCGTAGATTTTGAGTATTCAGAGAAAGAAAGAAAGAAACCAAACAAGGGGGCATGGACATGGAACAAAGACAATTACAGATTTTATAGCATGTGCTTACCAGTTACTAGCTAGTATCATCTATATATTTTAGCCTAAAGTTAAGATCATTGAAGAGAAAGAAGGTGATGAGGAAAGAGATGTTCTGACCTTGTTAATGAAATTGAAATCCATGGTGGTCCTCTACTCCAGCTGCAACTTGCGTTAACGGAGTAATAAATATGGAACTATATATGAGTCATTTTCATTTGGTACAAGATATCAATGTCATCCAGCCAACTCATCCACGTGGTACCTGATCCACGTGGTTACAGGTCACTCCATTAGTACATTATCATATAAGGAAACAAGACCTTGCTTCTCCAAACGCATGAATCATATGTTGCTTCTCCTAAACTTTTAAAGTGTAAACAAATATAATCTGGTGATTTAATTTAACTTAAAATATGGTATTTCATATCTTAATAATGACACAACTAAATTATATCATATAGGTTTCTTTAACTCATCTGTTTAAGCAATGACAAATCACATTCTTTCATTTTCTTGTGTCCACGGAATAAATCTTTGGTGCTACTGTAGCACCAAAGAATCAGTATATCCCACCAATAAAAATATTACATGTTAGCTAAAGTTTTATTTTTTCTGACAATTTTTTTCTTTCTCCTATGATGTGTAATGCTCTCATTAGTAAGATGCACTGAATCTTGGTACAACAGTAGCACCAAAAATTTATTCGTGTCCACGGTACCTTTCGCGTCTTTTTCATTTGTTTTATATTATTTACTTTAGCACGGAAAGCCCATAGATTTAAAAGGAAAATTCCACTGAATTGGATGCTCTTTAGCTGATTAAGCATTTTTGTTATCTACTTCCTCGTCCACAAATAATTGAAAGGCTCAGAAAATTTGAAGTTGAGATGTGATGTTATTAAAATATAAATAATGGCCACTGCTTTCATCCCTTAGAAGATTTGGAGGTCATGAGGAGTTTGCTCCCTGTGTAAAACAACTAAACCAAACTTGCATTTTTCTGAATCAGTCTCCAAAAACCGAATTGGTTTTATAAATCAAATTAAAAATTAAACCAAATCAAAAGAATTGATTCAAAAACCAATTTGGAACCAGTTCAGAACGAATTTGCATACCTGAACCGGTTATGAACATGTTCTGAAAAAATAAAAATAATTCAGTTCGGGTCATCTCATATCCACCCTTAGCTACTGCTAATATATTATTCTAAATTAACCTTTTTTTTTTAAAAAAGCATGTAATTAAAATGAAAAAGAAAGAAAGAAGCACATTGATAAACTTTGCCTTAATTTAATTTGTTGTTACATGTATGTCCATTGCATTTTGATTTTAATGCATTCTATTTATATTATTGGTAAGAGAGTGGCCAAAAGGGGGAAAATAAAAGTATTCCATTATCGGATCGCAGAGGCACATTAAAGTATTCCATTATCGTATGTTTTATATTTTACATGGTCGCTATCAACACAAAGTATATCCATATTTCTCTTTTTATTATTGTTATTTAAAAAAAATAGGATAGCCCTATTAGAACTTTTGTGTGTGTGTTCAGAAGAGATATGAATTGAACTGTACTCGATCAATATCCATATTTCTTTTTAATTCGGAAAGAATAGATAAATCATTTACCCGAGAATCTTTTATTAACAATGTCATCTCAAATCCACCATGGCCCCCACTCTCAACCCTTTGTTTCTCATCCTATATCCTATTGAAGAAAACTTCCAGATACTTGTATGTGAATTCCCAAATTAATATAAGGAAAATGTTTTTCTCATGTTGCATGTGCAACACATAAAAGAGTGGGTGAAATTCACTAAGAAGAGGAGAGAGAAACCCAAGTGTGGTGGCTCAGTTAGTAGCATAGGGAGTGAGTGGTGGGAGAGGACCTCGGTTCGAATCCCACCAATATCATCTGGGGAGGGACATAAGTACCGTAATCCTTGGACTCGCACCCGAACTCTGGATTAGTCCCATAGGCGGCTCAAAGAGTCGAACCCGTGGGAATACTGGGGGATTCTGATTCGCCTCAAAGAGATAATTAGGATCAGTTTTCAAAAAAAAAAAAAAAAAAAAGAGGAGAGAGAAAGGAAAAAATGGATCTCATCCACTTTTGTGTGTGTGTTGCATGAGACAATTTGTCTCATGCAACATGAGAAAAATATTTCCCTTAATTATAATGATGAGTAATTTTTCCATTACCAAACTTGCCAACTAACTGAGAGGTATCAATAAGGTCAGGTTCATCATCTATCTTGTTATGTTCTATATGAAGAATCTTTTAGGGTCAGTTTAATGATCTCTTGAAAATGAAGTTAAAAATTTAAGGATGAGCTTCATATGAAAAATTCATCCATAACTGTTCTATCTTAATTTCAAGGAAATGCCAAATTGACTCTGGAATCAAAATTCACCAAATGGCAAAAACCTTCCAAGTCCATGAGGAAGTAATTTTCCCTCATGAGAATTACTTGGCAAATCTTATATTGACATCAATTTCTCTCTTCAATCAGCTTCAGGTAACTTTTAATTATTTCTTCCTGTGAAAAATCTGTGAAGTATCCCCTCCCCACAGAAATACCTTCTTCCCTTGCAAGGCTCTCAACTTCTTGTTGTACTCTTTCACCACCAACTTTATTTGGATCCAACAAATTACAGGCTACCTCAATGACACCTTCACCATGTGCAAGGGCCATTGCCTGTACAGATGGAAGTCCACCACCTCTTCCACTAACCCGTTTTGCAATTCTACGAATAGCACTAATATCAGAAGATATTAGAGGGACATTATAGTTATCAACCCAATTGGTTGCTCCAATGACCAAAACACCTTTTGATGGAGTAACTTGAGATGGACCACTATCAGGCTTCATTGACATAGAGTCTGATTTTAACCCCCCAATCCACTGGTTTTCACTAGAATTTGGTTTAAAATAACCAAATACTCTTCTGATTGAATCAAGTGTCCTCCCCTCTTCATGTGCTGCTCCATATAGAAAAGTAGGAACTGCAGGTAATTTTAATGATCATTGAAATGCAAAAATATAAATTTAGAAAGATGATTGACATACTAAAGATAGTTCTATAATTACTTTACTAGTGTATAAAGTAGTAATTATGAAATTAGTCATATACGAACAAGGAAATATCCTACAAATTCTAACTGGGGCACTAAGAAGAGTTTACTATGAAGACATAATTCTCAACCAACAATCAAACAAAATGGGGTTCATGAAGTTTATATCTTCACAAAATTGAGGAGGCTATTTTCCAACTATACTGATATAAAAGATGAACTCTGAATTAAGTAAATCGTTCAACTTCTAACATCATCCTGATAAGCATCTACATGCTACTTCTTTTTTTGAAATTAAAAAAAAATAAAATAAAATTCTAAGAGTGTGACCCCTTCCCAAGAAATAACATTCTCCTTCAACTTATACTAAATTAGGAAATAAATTATCCTATGTCCTGTTTTAACATGCCCATGTAATGTGAAAAATCTCAGTCATTCATTAACAAATGAACGATCATAGTTAACAAGACAAGAGATGATCCATTTCCAATAAAATATCCTATAATGTGACCCCCAAGCCATGCTACTACTAACCTTGCAGACTAGAACCCATGTCCATAGCTAAACACCTAGCAATCCTAGCTGCTTGATCCAAGGAAGCATCAGCCATGGGGTGAAAACATATGTGGTCGACAACACCAAGTCGAGGATGAGTTCCAGTGTGCAACTCAAAGTCAATGGTGTCAAATGCAGCCTTCACCATTGCCAGCACACAATTTGTCAAGTGACATGGCTCTGAAGAAGGCACTGAACCCAACTCAGAGACAAGGGTGTAACCAATTCTATTGTAGGCCACATCTTCAAACTTGTTAATTATGGGAGCCAGGGGAAAAAGCTTGGCAGCTCGTTCAATAGATTCCAATGCACTCCTGTTTCTGCTTTCTGATATATATACCTTGCAGCAACCTAGAATGGACTTCAACATTTTTTTCTTTGAAATCAGCACCTTTCACAGACAACTGCACAAGAATGTGGATTGAGACAATAGAATGAGTCACCACAAAAGCTGTGGCCATAATCCATTTTAGACCACAATCCCAACAACAAAACCTCATCTCAAATATTATTCATGATTTTTTTTTTTTTTTTACTTTTTTAGAAAGATGAGAAGACCCTTCAAAAATAGGAAATTTTGGTTATGCAAAGACAAATTAGAATTACAAGACCACACCCAGAAAGTAATTAATGGGAATTTAGTGTTTCGAACACCATTAACTAGTTGCTTGAAATGGATGAGACAATAATCGACCATGTCTTCCACAACCAACCACAACAAAAATTCTTGATTCATAAACATACAAGGTTCAATCTTATCCATAAGAATTCACAACCTTCTCATCACTATGCTCTTTCGTGATGTATAGTGAAAGGGGGAGAAAAAAGGTAAAGAAAATAAAATAAAAAGACAAGGACAATTACAATAAAAAAAAAAAAAAATACCTGTTTTCGTGGAAGTCTATGAACGAAACAAAAGAAACTCGAGTCTCACACATCGGAAAACAAAGAAATATTCGTTTATGTTACAAAAAAAGAAAAGAAAAGAAAAGAAATATTCGTTTTTGTGCAATTTAAGAGCTTGCATACCAATGATATTGTAAACAAGCCCAACCTGATTAGGCCCAATGGATTCAGATCTGCTACCTCTTCAAATTCACGTCCAAATGCCAAAATTTCGAGTGTCTAACTTTCTATTCACTCGTGGGATCCGGGCGGTCCGGGGGACCACCGCGGCTCTTCTCTTTTCGAGAATTCATACATCCTTTCTCAGTATATAGATAGTTATTGCTCGAGCACAGGTTTAGAGAATTCCCTTCAACTATTTGTGTATGTAAAATCAAATACAAATAATCTAATTTTCTTAAGTTGAAGGGGAAAAGGTTTTTTTTAGGGGTTGTTTGGTATGAAGATTGTTTTAGAAATTTTGGGAAAATGGGGTGGGGCAAAATATTTTCCAACGTTCGATATGAGAAAATTGAAAATATTCTCGGAAAACTTTTTTTTCCATCATTTCAGTTTTAACTACAGAATCTCAAACAAAAATATCATCTGATACATTGTATTTTTATAATTAACCCAACATTCATGGAAAAATTTTGGACCTATCAAACACCTTTTCGTAACTTACCCGGAAAAAAAAAATCCCACTATATCCTCGAAAATCTTTTTTTCCGATAAAAAAATATATCTCCTCTATCAAACGTCCCTTAGGATGACTGGAAAAATGGAGATGAGTATCCAAAAATACAACATTTGGTAGCATACTTTAAATAATTTCCCTATCAATCTCATTTGCATAGCAATCTACTATTATGTGTAATATTGGCAAAATTTGACCATTAGATTGCATAGCAATCTACTAAATAATTACACCAGCAAACGAAAAAGTAACATTTTTCAATTTAGGACACATGATTTAAAGTGCCAAAAGAAAGCCGGGGAGAGTCTAACATATTTTCGTAAATTCATCCCATTTTTCAATAATATTTTACATTCAATCAAATATAAATTCAAAAAACTTACATCAATTTTTTTGGTAATATTTTGGCCTACCAAATAATTTTTTTTTAATTTTCCTAACAAACTCACTTTTTCATTATATTCCTAATAATTGAGTTTCCCAAATAAATAAAAAATTTCCTCTATTAAACGCTCCCCTTAAAGATTTTTTTTATTCCACGATCATAATAAATTTGTAAGTATAACATTTCCCTACCAATTTATTTAACTTCTTAATAGCTGAAATTAAAGTTTATTTTCTGCCTTTACAAAATTATATTTCATGGAAAACGGATGTTAAATTCATGAATTTTCTTACTTTAATAATTTGCCACTTTATTTCTCTGCCTTTGCTAAAGATGTCACAGTAGGCAAGTGAAGTGCACAATTGGTTTTCTGTGAGGAACGATTTATGTTTTTTCAAATAAAATAAATAAATTGATTAAACGTAGTTGCTTTAGGAAAATCCCAACATATGATTTCTAGTCATCTTGGAAATTAACTGAAGATTACTCAACTAAATTTTTTAAGTGAAAAAAAGCAATTTCCTATGCAAGCACTATATTTGAACAAAATTGGGCTTTGACTTGAGCATAACAAATAGCAGAGACGTAGAGAGAAAGAAAGCATTATTAACCTGGTGAGTGATACCATGAAGTAATGCATAGTACAGTATGTAAACTAATCCTACATGTTTGTCCAAAGAACAACCATTGTAGATTTGAGGACCATGTAAACAGTTGCAATATTAGCAACATTTGTAAATCAATGCTTCTATTTCTCTGAACTTCCACTAGTAGTTTATATGTAGCTATCTCCCAGTTTTCCTGATCTATTATCTATGTAGTGATCTCTGGTAGTAGCTGTTACAGTTGATAATTCATCCGTTGCCAACCTTCAAGTTGAATGAGTTTGCACTTTGCACTTCTTTCTTGAAACTGCCAACATTCATTGTTATAAAATTAACCATAAGTAACTAAAAGGATTTCATGTCTAAGCAATGAGTACAGATTTTATTTTAGTTTAACTGTGGACACAACCTGTAATTTGCTCTAGACTTCTAGTTTTACAACATTTAAACACAATTCTTCTTCTCAATTGACTTATATGGAACTATCTTAACTCTATTTTCTCCGGTTAGCCATATAAAAAGAAGGGCTTTATTAATCTCATGCAACTGGAGAGAACTCTCTCATGCAATAGAGATAATCATGTGTGGGACCCACCTATTATAGAAAAAGAAAAAAGAGATAAAAAAGTAACACGGAAATCGATGTATGTGTAGGAGAGAAAAATTCTCTCATACAACATAAGAGTATATTTTCTCTAAAAAGAAATAATGAAAGTCCGGACGAAGTAATATTTAGTTACCTCAAAGACAGATATGGTGGGGAAAAGATCATAGAACTCCTGTAAGAGCTGCCTCTCTTGTGCAACAACTTTTGCTAATTCTGATAGCATTGCAGCAGTCTTATCAACCTGCTGATAAAGCAATTTTTTTTTCGATTTCAATTTAAGTCCTCGTTGTATAATAACAGAACTAGCAGAATATTAACAAACATACTGAAGGTGAAAAACTAGTTAACATGGATTTGATGGAAGCTGTGAGATCACATGTCTGCCTCAGAGCAATGGATGTTGATTGTATGTTCACCTGTAAGCATAAAAATTCTGTCAATGCATTTTTTCTATCACTGAGACTGTAAATGTTTTTATTGGACCTAGTTATTTACCTTAGCACCTTCCAAAAGAGGAACTCTGCAGACAACAGAATGCAAACCCTCTTTGGTAGCAGTAATTGCAGATACATGCTGCCTTTCCATACCTCCCCAAGCTTCCAATAGCTTCATCTGCCAAAACACAACATATCAGTTGAGATAATGAAATCACTGAAAGAAAATCATAATTGAGGTTTAGTACTGACTTGAGAATATAGTATAAAAGTGATCTTCATTTGAAGTTTTTCTCTGGCAAACTGTATATTCTTTTTTAGAACCGAATGATGCAACTTTGTGATACCATCCCAAGCATATATCAAATTGCTCTAAACACATTCACAAAATCCAGAAAACATCAATACATCATTTCTCATTTGTTATAACTTATAAGATCATAGAGATGGAAATTATAAGAAAGTGTGAGACACATATAATGTATTATACCTGGGCCAGATGAGACATGTTTTCATTCACAGCTTGAGCTCTAGCATTTGCTAATCGCCATAGAATGAAACGGTTATCAAGCATACGAAGCTGATGAACAGCCTCTGAGTTTGAGTTTCCAAAACCAATGGGAGGCGAATTAACCAAAGGTTTCTTACTCTTGAAGATATCAAAACCCATGTTGAGGAATTTTTCCACTCCTTTAACCTCCTTAGTAGGAGTTGTTGGGTGCTTCAAGCTCGAAAAAGACATGGGTTTATCCATGCTTTCTACAGACATAACCGGTGAATCTGACCTTCCAGGTGACAAAGCCCATTGAGACTTAGAACTCTTGTACCCAGTAAGCGAATTAGCCCTCTTTATCGCTGTTTTCAATGTGAATCTCTTCAACACAGGGGAATCACTGTTCATATTCATATTCACAGTCACATTCAGAATGTTGGAATCTGAAGTTCCTCTTCTACCCCTTCTTGTCGTTACATCATTCATGTACCTCGATGGAACCTCCACTCCCAATTTTCTGGCACCATATTCAGATTCTAAATCAACAGAGTTCGTCAAAGAATAAGATTTTCTTAGTGAAGACAAGGATTTAGCATTCTCGTCCACGGACAATCTTCCCGGAAAAATGGTGGAACTCTTAGAACCGTGTTTCTTAACAGAAGAAGAAGATGAAGATGATGATGATGGTGGTGTTCCCAAATACCTCATTGAACCACCAATGATTATTGGTCTATCGTTTTCCTTGGAGCTAATGGAACTTGTGATCTTGGTAGTTTTCTCGTCGAGTTGCTCTATGATCCTGTCCTCGCTGATGTGATCGGCGAGAGTGCCGGAGTTTTTCTTCATCGCCGCCGCGGAAGAAGGCCATAGTTGGTGGCGCATGAAACCCGGTTCTTCCGTTATCTTGTGCCTCCGGCTGTCGGCGGCGGGACTCGTAGGTTTGCGTTGAACAGGGGAATGGCATTCGCCGGATTCCATGGAGGTAGTGATAATTGAGCTCGGAGGCGGCGAAGAAGGGAGAAACCGTGAACTCACTTCGCGGTTTCTGTGTTGACGAGGTTTCGGAGATTGACTAGAAACCGGAGAGGCGTCGAGCGTCTTCATCGGAGACAGACAAAGTCAAAGACAGAGGAAGATGTTGGCACTGCAGGGCGTGGTGTCTATGTTACTGTTGCATGTCACAAACAGTTAACACTTGGAGATGGCGCGGCAAAATATTAATGATATTTGCGCCGGCAATGGATGAAATTACTTAACTGCCATTCAGCTAGTGTTGTTTGAGGAAAACATTGTATTGGATTAACATTTAAAAAATCCAAACTCTTCCTCAACCAAATTCTTCAAAAAAAAAAATAGGAGTCAGAGGATGTGCCTCCTTCCTCGAACGAGGGACTAGTTTTATCCTTCCTCCGATAGTTTAAACTTTCAAAAGCTCTCAAAAATCGCTGAAAAATTTGCTGCTTTTGAGATGAATTAGATTAGAATCTTGTTGAGTTGTTGTTTCTGAATTGTGTTGTGATGAAAATCGTTCACAAATTTGCTATTTTTGAATTTTGATGAAGCTCTGCAAAACCCGATTTTGAGCGAATAGATCCGCCAAAAGAAAAAAAAAAAAGCACTACAATGAAGAAATCTCAAGAAATCCTAAGGATTAGGGTAAGATTGTGAGAGAAGCATCATATTTATACTTCTCACTAAAAATTCTCACGAAATTCACACTAATAGAAAATTCACTAAAATTGTCATATTCTTTAAGGGTTCGCTTTTTTTAATGCCAGATAAGTTATATGCAATAAGTCCAATACTACTTCGTTTTGGGGCAAAAATTATGGTGTTTTTGTAATTTTAATTTATTTCAGGGTTATAATAGTCTTTATATTTATGATTTTTTAAGATTTCAATACCAAAACGATGTTGTTTTGAGAATAAATGCAGATAACTTATCTGCATTAACTGCAGAAATATTTTTCCCATTTTTTAATACCACGAGATTGTTTTTCTTTTGTTTAAAATCCTGATTGAATACCATCGGATTTGGATGGACTCTAAAATAATCTTTTGAAATCTTAATCGAATATCACATGACTTTTTTCAATCATATAAAATCTTAATTGAATATCAATAAAAAAATTTATCCAAAAATAATTCATTAAAATTTCAATCCAATACACCTCCTCAGCATTTCCCTTTAAAATGAAATTATATATTCTCTAAAATATGTAAATATAATATGGAAAAAGTGTTTGTCATTTTGAATGACAGAAAGTTATGTCATTTTAAGAGAGATGCAGACACAAAAAATTGAATTTTAAATTAAAAAAATCACCCATTTTCTCTCTCCCATGATTTCCGTTTTTCTGTATCTATCTCTCTTCTAAAATGACATAACTTATGTCATTTAAAATTACAAACACCAATCTTATATAATATTAAAAAAAATTCTCTCATTCAAAAATACACCTCGGCAGAGGTGTTATTATTTTATTGGTAAAATGTAGGTATTATTTTCGATGTTGGAGAACGATGGTTGAGGAATGAGGAGTTGTATAAGTTTGGCATTTGGAGACAAGAATGGGAGTGGAAAATCATTGCTGAGAATGGGTACCTTCCACTTGTTATTAACTTCTTGAAAGTTGAAGGGGCCTTTTATAATATTTTATTTTTATTGTTCTTTCTGTTTTGTTGGATTGCCTAAGTTTTTAATTTAAATTGTAACTGAATCAAAGTTTGAAGATTAAAAAATAAATAATTTTGTATGATGTGAGCAGGCTAACCGGATAGTGCTGTGGACGGCTTACCTTGCTTATTAATGGCAGAAATATTGGGAAGGAGCAAAAAAAAAAAATACAATTATAATTTAAATAATAATTTACGACATTAATATTGTTTTTAAATAGTTTATATAACCATGATTGATTTAAGAGCCTCTTTGGTGTGATATATAAAGTTTGATAGTATAAGTTCATACTATACGTTATGACATCTTTAGTTGTTTGGTGTGACCATTGTATAGTATAAACATATACAGCAAGACCCCTTAATACATCAAAATGATGTATAACTTAATCAGACCTAAAGGGGTGGGATTAGGCTTGATAAGGGATTGATATAATTCTCAAGAACTAATATATCATTTCAATATTAATATATCAAAATAAGTTATCTGCATTTATTTTTCAAAACGACGTTGTTTTGGTATTGAAATATTAAAAAATTATAAATATAAAGACTATTATAACCCTGAAATAAATTAAAATTACAAAAACACCATGATTTTTTCTCTAAAACAACGTCATATTGGGTTTACTACAAATAACTTATCTACAGTAACTGCAGAAAAAGGGAATCCAACGTAAAAATAACAAATCCCTTGATTTAAAGCTATTTGATCCGGCTCCATTCGGTTAAAAAAACTGATTCCGGTTAAATCATGTCCACCTTAATGTATCATGTTTATGTGCAATTGGTCGTATTTGTTGCATAAAATATTTGTTATAATTTTTTGGAAAGGATATTTATATTTATTTTCACCTTTGTACGATTATGATTTTTCATATTTAATGCATTCGTATTAAATATGAGGAATCATAACAATACAAATATGAAAATAAATATAACCGTTGGATCAACATAATCGATCTAATGATGAAATTGATTGGTAGTAACACTAATTGGTTGTTACAATATCACATCCATAATTTTTTTTATCTAATTGTAATTTCTTTTTTTAAAAAAAAACTCATTGAGAAGGGGTTCTCCAATTCATCTTCAACATTTAAAAGAAATTATATAAGTAACCCAAAGCTACTTACAATGAAACGATGAACTTCTTCTTACTCTTTAGTTCTGATCGGTCCAACAGATATGAGGCTGAGCCTGGTCACACAAGGTTGAAGGTAAATGATATTGAAAAAGAAAAGGGTTGATGACAAATAAGCTTGCAGAGATGATTGGCTGCTTGGTGGGATGATTAGTCTGGAAAGCCTGATGTCTTGAGCAATTTGAGGAGACTAAAAAAACCTGCAAGACACTTCAACGCTTCATTCAGTTCAGTATTCAAAGATAGATATCTTACATGTTAAATGTCTCTGTATTTATAGTAGTAGGGTGTCTTGCTTCATGCCGCCTTTCTAATGGCGGTATCAATATCATTGGTGGAGAATGTAGCTTTCATAGGCTATTCCTTCGGCGAGAAGGCTAGCCCTTATATATATTTTAGCGAGCTGGTGCTCTCATTCATTTATTCAAGTTTGCCCTTGATCTTGGCAATGATGTATCCTTAGTTATTAAGTTACTTTTGGCTTGTCAACCAAGTTCGCAAAATGTCCACAGTTCATACATGGGATGGATTTGGTTCTTCATAATTAAATTTGTGATTTTTGGACCTTTATTGAATTGAGAGCGTATATCAGATCGAGATCCAGTTCTTTATTTCAAGTGTACATGTAATATAATTTTCTAGAACTTGAATCATAAACCACAATCTTATTATAGACCTTAGTCATGATTTGAGTTCTGATTTCGATCCCAACCGTCATGATTTTGTTCTTTATCCTGAATCTGAGTTGTGAACTTGAGTCGTGATGCCTATCTGAATCATGATTATGATACAAATATTGATATTTAACATCACGAAGAGACAATGGCTACATTTAGGTTGGTTGCTAAGATGAAATTTACAAATTTTACTCTGTAAGAATATTACTTGAAAAAATAAATAAACCAGATTATTATATAATGCTTCACAAAAAATTGTGAAACACACGAGAAATTCTTTATGTGAATAATATTATCATGTTTAAGTAACGTGTTACGTTTTATTTCTTTGCAATAAAAGTTCTTCTGCTTGGAAGAGACAAATGTTGGAAATAGTACAGGCATCTTGATTTGGCATTTGCGTTTATTTCTTTGGCTTGAGCTAAATCTACATGCAAGCAAATTCATTCTGTTTGACCATGTAAAAAATGAACAAGCCAAGCAGTAATTTTGTAGTTCCTTAGTTGCTAGTTTTTTTTTTGGTAAGCTCTGTAAAGAACCAATTCAACTCAAAAGCTTAAGCTGTTGGGTGAGGTTTACATTAATGATTTTATAAATTTCAACACGCCCCCTTCACGAGAGCTCATTGGACTTGAAGGGTGGACAATGCACAGGCCTACCTACCTGTGCGAAGAAAGAAATTCCACTAGAAAGAAAATGGAGGGCGGTGAGGATCGAACCCAGTACACCGAGGCTCTGAAACCATGTAAAGAACCAATTCAACCCAAAAGCTTATATATCTCAACAATCTCCTTGGTTGCTAGTTTTTACTACCATCTAAGCTTCCATTTTATTCACAATTTTGTTTCTTATTTTTAAACCATATAAAATAATAAAATATCAAAGTCTTCACAAATCAATTGTGATATGTAAAGATGTACAAGATTGAATCTGGCCACCGGACTGTCATTTGATTCTGTGTAAGTTCACAAAAGTATCAATATGATTTGATAATAAGGAGGTTTAACTAAAGGTAATATACTTATTACTTTGCTAGCCAACATTTATTGATTTTATTCCTTTATTCTAGTTGTCTTTTAAACTTAGATATAAAATGGGCTAATAAACGATTTCTCATTTTAAATGATATAAAGTTATGTTATTTTAAGAGAGAGATAGACACAGAATAAATTTTTTTATTTAAATTTTGAATTAAAAAAAGCCACTCACTTTCTCTCTCTCATGATTTTCATTTTCTGTGTCTATCTCTCTCCTAAAATGACATAACTTATGTCATTTAAAATGATAAATACCAAGCCCAGAATGATTCATGAATACAAGAAAAATGAAACCATAGTGAAAAAGTAATTTTGACTCACCAAAATTAATCCCAATAAAATTGAGGCTTTAATGCTTTTACATTAAATGCAGATAAATTATCTACGTTTACTATCAAAACGACATCGTTTGAATTGAAAGATTAAAAAATTATAATGAGAAAGACTATTATAACTTTGAAATAAATTATAATTACAAAAATATCTTATTTCCGCCTTAAAACAACATCGTTTTAAGTTCAACGAAGATAATTTATCTGGATTGCATAACTTTAAAATTGAATGTATGTT